CCGCCGGGGGCCTGGCGGGGCCCCCTCCCCGACTTTGGAGGAGGGAGGGACAGACCGGGAGGGGGAAGTGACAATGGAGCTACATTCGTGCTCCCGCTTTGCCCCCCAGCCAAACAAAGCCGGGGCCCCCAGAGTGCTCCCCATGCCGGCTGCAGAGAGCCCCACTCTTCAGGCCCTGCCTAGCTCAGCCCGGCTGGCTCCGGTGAGGACCCATCTGTTGCTCACACCCATGGGCCCAGCGCTGGGCGGGCTTGGCTCAGGCCTGGCGGCGGGGATGGAGAGAAAGGCCTGGTTGGGTTTTCAGAGCCGGACCCAGCTGGGGTTGGACAGCAGCATCACGGCCCTGATGATCCAGAGAACAGGGCTCAGTTTGGGCAAGTCCCGACGCCTCCCTCGGCAGCAGGGTTGTAAACTCCCGGGGAATAGGGCGGCCAGATGGTTTCAACAAAAATACCGGACACCCTTGACATGACATCACAATCGACATGACATCTGATTGAGAAAAAAAGCGACGTTTCTATTGTCTCCGTTCTATTGTTTCAATGTGTTTCCTGAACAGAAAGCTCAAATACTGGACTGTCCGGTTCAAAACCGGACACCTGGCCACCCTACCGGTTAATCAGCTAGAACTTTGGTTTGTGTTTAAGTGGGATCCTGCTCCCGTCCCACCACCACGATTGGGGCTGCCGGCTGCTGCCCCCCCCACCCGCCGTGCTGGGAGCTGGCTACCCCAAGGTTGCGGGGAGGGGACTTCCAACCCCTGGGGACTGGAGCAGCCTTCTGTTTAGGTGGCCGTGGGTTGCTCCTGGGTAACCAGTTAAGCATCCCTCAGTTAACAGGTGACCCGTTCACATCTCTACATCTCTACTGGGCAGCAGTGTTCTTAGCAAGAACACCACTCCTGGGAGTGGAGACTGTCTTTCGCGAGGTGCCCATGTCGTACCTGGCACAATGGGTGCACCTGGCAGCTCCTGGAAGGCCAGACGGCGTCGGCAGCTTTCCGATTGCAAGCGACCGGGCCGAGGGAGGCAGCACTGCAGAGCACGGTGGGAGGGCCGGGCTCAGGGAGCCTTAAGGGAAAGCCGGAGGCTCAGGGGGCTGCTGTGAAGCACGTGGCCTGGGGGGAGGAGGTAGCAACGTCAAAGGGGCATTTCCCTGCCACCGTGAGCTCACTCCCCTGCCGAGCTCTGGGGGTGAAAACAGCTTCCCTGCAGAGATCTCCCAGCCAGCTCCTCCCCACTACCTGCATTGGACAGAAGGGGAAACTGAGGCACAAGAGAACACCCACGCCCGACCTCAAGGCAAACAGAACGTCAGTGACGGAGCCCAAAAGAGAAGCCAAGGGTCCCGATTCCTGCCCCAGCAGCCTTTCCACTAAGCCCTGCTGTCCCGACAAGCCCCGGTCTGTTCACTGTGCTGACCATGTGCTGTCACAGGCGGCGGAGGGGAGCCGGGCTGGAAGCGAGGGAGGGAAAGGGTCACCTCTTAAGATACAACCGGGAGCACAGAGAAACACGCTGCTGCCCTGTGCCAAGCGGTTTGTATGAGCTGCCAGCTCATCGGATGTCTGTACCGCTGGGTGTTACCCCCTGCTGACGTGGGCCCCTGCAGGCAGGACCCACCTGAGAGGCTGGGGCCATTAATCCAGCCCATGGAAACTAAGCCCCAAACTTGATCCAGGTCTGAACATTCCTCCCCTCTCTGCCTCGAGTCCCTCTCTTTGGGCACCATTGAAGGGGGGCTGTGAAGCTACCCCCATGTGACACCCCAGAGACAGATGCATTTCATTGGGCACGATACAGTTTGGGGTGACAGGATGCGTAACATAGTGAATTCTAGTGGGAATGGGGAAGGTTTAGAAGTTAAAATAGGAAAAGAATAAGTTAAAATTACTTAAAGAGGTTAGAAGTCTTCCAGGGTATGTCTACACTACCCTCCTATTTCGAAATAGGAGGGTAATGTAGGCATACCGCAATTGCAAATGAAGCCCGGGATTTGAATTTCCCAGGCTTCATTTGCATAAGACGGGCGCCGCCATTTTTAAATCCCGGCTGGTTCGAACCCCGTGCCGCGCGGCTACATGCGGCACGAACTAGGTAGTTCGAACTAGGCTTCCTAGTTCGAACTACCGTTACTCCTCGTGGAACCGTTACTCCTCGGCACGGGGTTCAAACCAGCCGGGATTTAAAAATGGCGCCGGCCGGCTTATGCAAATGAAGCCCGGGAAATTCAAATCCCGGGCTTCGTTTGCAATTGCGGTATGCCTACATTACCCCGCTAGTTCGAACTAGCGGGGTAGTGTAGACATACCCCCAGTCACCAGGGCCTGATGAAATGCATCCTAGAATACTCAAGAAGCAGATAGAGGAGGTATCTGAGCCATTAGCTATCATCTTTGACACATGATGGAAGTCGGGAGGGATTCCAGAAGACTGGAAAAGGGCAAATCTAGTGCCCATCTATAAAATGGGAAATAGGAACAACCCCAGGAAACTACAGACCAGTCAGTTTAACTTCTGTGCCAGGGAAAGACAATGAAGCAAATAATTAAGGAATCCATCTGCAAACATCTGGAAGATAATAAGGTGATAGGTAGCAGCCAGCATGGATTTGTAAGGAAGAAATCATGTCAAACCACTCTGATAACTTTCTTTGATAAGATAACAAGCCTTGTGGATAAGGGGGAAGCGGTGGACGTGGTATACCTAGGCTTTCTAAAACATCTGATACGGTCTCGCATGACCTTCTTATCGATAAACTTGGCAAATGCAACCTAGATGAAGCTACTATAATATGGGTGCATAAGTGACTGGACAACCGTTCTCAGAGAGTAGTTATTAATGGTTCACGGTCATGCTGGAAGGGCATAACAAGTGGGGTTCCACAGGGGTCAGATTGGGGACCCGTTCTGTTCAATATCTTCATCAACGATACAGATATTGGCAGAGAGAGTATGATTATTAAGTTTGCAGATGATACCAAGCTGGGAGGGGTTGCAAGTGCTTTGGAGGAGAGGGTCATCATTCAGAATGATCTGGACAAACTGGAGAAATGATGTGAGGGAAACAGGATGAAGTTTAATAAGGACAAATGCAAAGTGCTCCACTTAGGGAGGAACAATCAGTTTCACAGGTACAGAATGGGAAGCGACTGTCTAGGAAGGAGTACTATAAAAAGTGATCTGGGGTCATAAATATGAGTCAACGGCGTGACACTGTTGCAAAAACCCAAATATGATGCTGGGAGGCATTCACAGGAGTGTTGTGAGCAAGACATGAGAAGTCATTCTTCCACTCTACTCTGCGCTGATTAGGCCTCAGCTGGAGTATGTGTGTCCAGTTCTGGGCACCACGTTGCAGGAAAGACGTGGAGAAAGTGGAGAGGTTCTAAAGAAGAGCAACAAAAATGATGAAAGGTCTAGAAGACCCAGGCGGGATCACTGAAAGAATTGGGTTTGTTTAGTTTGGAAAGGAGAAGACTGAAAGGGGACACGAGAGCGGTTTTCAAGTATGGAAAAGGGTGTCACAAGGAGGAGGGAGAAAAATGTTCTCCTTGGCCTCTGATGATAGGAAAAGAAGCAATGGGCAGCCAGGGAGGTTTAGGTTGGACATTAGGAAAAATTTTCTCACTGTCAGGGTGGTTAAACACTGGAATAAATAGCCTAGGGAGGTTGTGGAATCTCCATCACTGGAGATAGTTAAGAGCAGGTTGGCTTGACATCTGTCAGAGATGATGGAGAATAGTCGGTGCTTGGCCCTGCCGTGAGGGCCGGGGACTGGACTCGATGACCTCTCGAGGTCCCTTCCATTTCTAGGATTCTATGATAACCCCTGGGCAAGGCTTTCGAAGGAGGCTTCCCATTCGGGGTGCCGCTGTTTGGGGTGAGGCCTGAGGTCTCTAGACCCATGCCTAGGGCCCCAGGTCCCGGAGCCAAGGGACTCCATCGGAACCTCGGCTTCCGTTTGAAACCAAACGTCGATTTCCAGCCCTCAGGCCTGTGACGAACAGCCTGGAAAGGTGGGTTGGGGGCAACCAATGTGGCAATGCCGGCCTGAGTCTGCAGAGAGCCTGAGCCAGTTGCTCAGGAAGGGGAGAGCTGCCCCATGCGCCAATACAGGGAGTGAAATCCGAGCCCCACTGCTCTGGGGCGCTGCACCAAACGCTTTCCAGTGGGGGAGCACAGCAGGGCCCTCCCTCCCTCACGCAGACTCACCTGGGGGAACTATGGTGCGTGTGGGAGGGGGAGTTTCTGCCACCCCTGCTTCTTGGGAGTGGGAGGTTTCCGGCTGCTCCTGAAAAGAGTGCGGGGGCCCCATCTGCCTCCATCTTTTGGGGGAGGGGAGCAGGATGCTCCTGGGGGGTGGGGCTGTATG